GAAGGAAGGAAGGAAGGAAGGAAGGAAGGAAGGAAGGAAGGAAGGAAGGAAGGAAAGGAAAGGAAAGGAAAGGAAGGAAGGAAGGCTCAGTTAAATCAGAGGCCCCCAGGATTAGGGGGGGAGCAGGGGCCGGTCCCCTTCAGCCCACAGGGAGGCCCCCGGGGCCCCTCCTCTGCCTTGCAGCCCCTCCTTCTCCTCCTCCTCCCGGCTCCTTTGGAGGGCTCTGCCCCTTCCCAAAGGCCAGCGAAGGGGGGCTGGCCAAGGGCACCCGGGGTCTCCGTGGGGTTTCCGTCCTGAAGGCGCCTCTTGCTTCCGCAGCAGCAGCCTGGCCGAGAAGGGCGGTGGCCTCCCTCCTCCGAAGCAGCCCTGTGGCCAGGTAGGAGCCCTGGGGCCGCCCTCGAGGGGACGGTGGGGCTGGGCGGGAGGCGGAGGGAGCCGGCCGCTGGCTGAGCCCCTTGTGGGGAGACGGAAGCGGTTTCCTTCGGCCCTCCTGCGTCTCTTAGGACACCCCCCCCCTGCGAATGCAGCTGTTGGGGCCCTGGAGGGAGGGCAGGGCGGGCGCTGTGGATGCTGGGCCTTGCCTGGTGTGCCTGCTTCTCCAGTGGGCAGAGGGCCCGTGAGGGCCCCTCTGACTTCAGGCGCTGGCCCTGACCCCTCCTCCCTCTCTGGCCTTGCAGGGAGCTGAACCGCCGGCTGGTTCCCCCAGGCACAGTCCCCGCTCTGCAGGTAGGTCCCCCCCCCCTGTGTCCCCCCCACTCCTACACACACACAGAAGAGGAGCTGCAAGGCCTCCGGAGCCCTTCCTGGCTCTGCTGACAGCCAAGTGGGGGGAGGGGCAGGGAGAAACAACCGGGTCTTTGGGTGGGGGTGGGGGTCTGTGTTCTGGGGATGGCGTCCCTTCCCCCCCACCTCTCACTCTTGGCAGTCACCCCTCCCCCCAGGCCCTCTGCCCCTCCAGACGCTGCTCCCCCTTCCCCTAAAACTTCATTTGGCATCTTTGAGAATCTCAGCCAGTTCCATTCCGGCTTTTTCAGTGTTTCTCTTGACCCCTTCGCTCTTTCTTCCGTCTCTCTAGCAGTCCTTCCTCCTTCCTTTCCTTCCTTCCTTTCCTTCTTTCCTTCCTTCCTTCCTTCCTTCCTTCCTTCCTTCCTTCCTTCCTTCTTTCCTTCCTTCCCTTCTTTCCTTCCTTCTCTCTGTACGTGGCCCGGAGAGTCTTTTCCACACGGGCCACTCACTTCATTCGCTTCACAGCCATACACCCCCCTGCTCCCCTTCTCTCCCGGCGGCTGCCTGTCCAGTGTCCCTGCCCCACTGAGTTCAGTTGGGGGGATTTCTGCCGAGGGGAGGGGAGGGTTCCTCAAAGGGAGGAGGGAGAGCTGCTTCCCTGCCAGCCAAACCTTCCCTGCCCGCTTTGCCCTTGAGAGGGGAGGTTTAATCTGCTGCCATCCTTCCCTGCCAGGCGCTTTGCTCCCTTTCCCTCGGCTCTCCCTCGTTCCTGACTTTTTCCTTTCTCTTTCTTCTTCCTCCTCCTCCTCCTCTTCTTTCCTTTTATGATCGTAGATCCCTTTTCTGACCCTTCTGAGCCCACCCAGAGGGGCTTGATAGGTAAATAAGCACCCTGCTGCCTGTGCCCCACCAACTGGGTGGTGTGTGAGGTGTGTGGACACTCAGCCCCCCCCTCCCGTCCCCCCCTCCCCCCGGCTGCCAGAGTCCCTGGGCAACCCTGAGCCCTTCTGCCCATACAGACCCTCCTCGGCTTTGCCAGAGCTCCACGGGGGCCAGCCTTGCCACCCCACGCAATGGCAGCGTGGCACAGAGGCCTTCCAGCTTCCTCTTCCGCTCCTCCTCCCAGAAGGGCGTCCAGCGGAGATGGGGTGAGTGTCCGAGGGAAGCCGGGCCGTGGGGCTCTTCCCCGTGGGCCCCCCCTTGGCAGGGAGGCGGAGCTTGCTCTTCAGGGAGGCCACCGGCCGGGCCCAGCCTCACGGGCTGCCAAACCCTCCTTGCAGATTCCCCGTCGCCTGAGCTCAGCAGCCCCGCCAGGTGCCGTACGGGGACCCAGGCCTCAGACGAGAGGGAGCTCCTTGCCCAGCTGCGCAAGGTAGGGAGCCTGGCGGCTGCGGCCCACCTGAGGTCCACCTCTAGGCCAGGTGTCCTCAGACCCAGGGGTGGCTTCTGCGTGGAGGGCAGTTGGGGTGTCTGGGGCAGGGGAGGGAGCCGGCCCTCGAGCTGGGCAAGGACAGCCTCCTGCTGCCAGGCCCTCGGGCCCTCAGGAGAGCCTTTGGGGGCCCCTATCAAGCCTGGCCTCTCTGCCAGCCCCAAAGGCAGCTGTCGGCCTCTGGAGCCTCTCTTTCCCCTCCCCCCCCCAGGCCATTGAGTCCCACCTGAACGTGACCCTGGCAGAGGACTTGGGCGAGGCCCTGGCCGACGGGGTCATCCTTTGCCAGCTGGCAAACCGCCTGTGCCCACGCTCTGTGCCTTTCATCCACGTGCCCTCGCCTGCTGTGGTGAGCCTCTCTTGGGAAGTGGCGGTGGCGGGGGGGAGGGCAGAATGGGTCTCACTCCTGCTGCGGGGCAACCTCGGCTGGCATCCGACTGCCTGGGCCGCTGCTGGCCGCCCTTGCCCACCGGCTCTCTTCTCTCTCTTTTGGGCACAGCCGAAGCTGAACGCCGCCAAAAGCCGCAAGAACCTGCAGGGCTTCCTGGCCGCCTGCCGCCAGCTTGGGATTCCGGAGGTGAGGCTGGGCAGGCGGTCCCTGGGGGGCCCCTTCCCCCCCCCTTTCCTCCCCCCCCCCTCGCTTCCCTTGCGTGTCCCCTCAACGCTCACGTGTCCCTGCGTCTGTGCCTGTGTTCTCTCGCCTGCCCCAGGTGTCTCTCTGTGGTGCCCCCGACATTGCCCTCCTCCTCCAAGGCAACGTCCGTGGCTTCCTGTGCCCGCTGGAGGCCCTGCTGCTGCTGCTGCACCCAGCGGCCCCCCTCGCGCCCCCCGGCCACCTGGCCGGCTTTGCCGTCTTCTATGCCTGCGTCATGTTGCTGCTCTACTTTGCCTACTGCCAGCTGTGTGGCCTCTTCTTCTGCTGCTGCTGCTGAGCCCTCGGCCGCCCAGCCGAGCAGGACTGCCCGGCTGCCACAGCCGCCCCGTCCGCAGAGCCGGACGCTGCGTTCCCTGGTCAGAGACTCCGGCTCCAGGGAGGCCGCCCGTTGCTAGGAAGATCAGCCCTCTGGTTTCAGACATTGACCGGCTTCACTCACGTTCTCCAGGCAGCCAGATGGGTTGGGGGCTGTCAAGAGGCCCCTTTCTCCAGTCGATGCCTCCCGACACCCCCCGAAGTCCCCCCCATTTCAGCCCCCCCCACCACGCCTGTGCCTTCTCCCCAGAACCTGCCCTGGGCCCCTTCGACTCCCCTTCCCAAGTGCCTCCATGGGCAGGATGGCCCTGCTGTGTCCCCTGGCAACACGGAGGCCTCCGCCTGCTTTGGCCCCGCAGGAATCAAGCTATTTGGAGCACAGCAGCTCTGGGTTGTCCAGTCCCAGTGTGGCCGCTCCGGTCCTCTGCCCGGAGCCCTTTTGTAGCTTTAGCAAGGGGGCCTTCTGGGCTGTGTTGCCCTCTGGAAAGAGGGCCTGCCTGGCTACTGGCTGGGCCCTGCGGAGCCTGTGGGCTCTTGGCAGGTGGGCCATGTCCCTTCAAGGGCCCCAACCTCCGGGGAGACCCCGGCACTCGCTTGGCACAACAGCCGCCTGACCCTGGGGAACCCCGGGGGCCCTCCTGTGCTGGAGGGCCCCCGACTGGGACCTTCCCTGGATGAAGGCGGGAGGGAGGGAGGGAGGAGCCCCCAGCCTCGGCACCCCCAGCTCCTTTGCTGTGCCAGCCCAGTGGAAATGCCTTAAGCCCCCTCCCCTCCAATGACGCCCCCCCCACCTGCTGCCTTAAAGGTGTGAAAACTATATTTTATACAAACACGCACACGCATATATATATATTTGGAGACTGGAGGTGACTGGGAGGCTGGGAAGGTGGTCTGTGTTTTTAACCGCTTGTACCATATTGTAAATATTTATTTATCCCCCCCCCCCACAAAAAAACACGGAGCCTCCCACGCAGCAGCCCCGCCTCTCGCTTCCTTTCTCGCTCGCTCTGCGCCGCCTCCGCGGGTGGGGAGGGGAGGGGAGAGGGGGGGGAAGCCCCGAGGGCCACCGCTGACCGTCCTCCCCCCGCAGGCCCAGCTCCGCTGCCCGAGCGGCCCCGGGATGGACCAGGAGGCCGAGGACCTGCCGCGCTTGGCCGCCGTCGCGGTGCGGGCGCTGCTGGAGGCCCACCGGAGGGGCGGGGGGGAGGGCTAAGGAAGGGGGCGGGGCCGGGAGGGGCGCCGCCGCCGCCGCCGCGGGGCACGCCGGGAACTGTGGTCCGGCCCGCCGAGGGGGACGTCGAGGATCGGCCTTCCGGCGCGGTGACGTCACGGGGGCGCCGCGCGAGGGGGCGTGGCCGAAGGCGGCGGCGGCGGCGGCTGCGAAGATGGCGGACCTGCTGGGCTCCATCCTGAGCTCCATGGAGCCGCCGCCCGGGCTGGACGACCGCGAGGCCCGGCGCGCCAGAGGTGGGTGCCCGGGGGGTGGGGGGGGGGGGGGAGGGGGGGGCGGGGGGGGGGGTGGGGGGGGGGGGGGAGGGCCGTGGGGGGGTGAGGGAGG